AGCTAGCTCAATAAAATAAAGAAATTCTACTCCATATATGTTTTTATATGCTATTATTATGATTTATGAGGTGTGAAATATCTTATAAAAATTATTGTTAACTTTGTTACCAAACACATAAGCAAATAACACAAAAAATACTTTTACCACAATTATTCAAAGATAACAAAATAAATTAAAGAATTTGAATGGTATTTTAGAAATTTGTGAGTGATGAGGTAGAACTCCTCATAGAAAAATGTTGTAATAAATAACAATAAAAGTTTTAAGTAACTAATATTGAATTACAAAAATATATAATACTATATTAAAAATTATAGGAAATTATCATTTATTGGAATGAATACAGAAGAAAGAAAAATGATAACAGACACTTCGTTTGAATAACTTTTGTCTTATGTTACATCCTTAATGCTTAAACTTAGCATGTTTAGCAATTTAATTTTTAATACTATATTATAATGAATTTTGCTCTATTTTCTTATTTGTTTCATGGCCGATGCTTTTCTAGTGAAAATAAAAATATGTACCTTAAAAGTTTTATCAACTTGACAAATAATTTTATCAACATAATGATTTTGAAAAATATTGAATTGAATTTTTTTTTGCTAATTTATAAATTCAAAGACTTAATTATTTGTTGAAGTTTGATGCTTTTAAGATAGTATGAAGATGCCAATTATTTTCGAACTTTTTTCCTACTCGAACACTATATTATTCTCTTTATCAGTTGTATAATATTTATATAATGTCGTTCGCCTTTTTTACCCTTTAAAAATATATTTTATTTTTGACAAAATAGTAATTTGTTTATCTTCCTAATATTTAGGACTTCTAAATCAACTAAAATTTTAATTATTATATCTTTTCTTATTTGAATCTGTAGAAAATAAATTTAAAATTAATTAAAATTTTACCTTATATAAATTATTTAATTTAATTATGACACAACTATAACTATACTTTTTCTAATATTTAAGGGAAAAAGAAATAGAATAAGCGGATTATTTCCATAAATCTACGTTATCAATTTTCCTTTCCACCAAGAGTATTTTAATTTGTTTGGCAAAAATAACTTAGCTTGAACACTCACTTTAATTGTACTATTCGTTTATCATTATTGCCACCGAATCCTTTCCTTACAATATTTTCCCAGCGTGGTGAGTTATTCAATATATATATATANTATTGACCTCCAGACCGCTCAAATCTAACCAAATTAATTGTATAACTTCATTAAAATACATCGAAAACAATTTCGGATAATAATACGTCGACTTAAAAATTTATTCTAAAAAGTCAACAAAGGCAACGCGGGGGCCGCCCCTCAGAACCCGGCAAAATTTTTCATGAAATTCGAACACCCATTCCGTTACGAGTTCAACCATACCAATTTTATCGAATTCCAATAACAACTCGACCCCCAAATCTTAAATTTTCGTTTTCAAATTCCTAAGTTCAAACCCCCGATTTACATCTAAAAATATGTAATCTAATCGGATTATTCGATGATAATTCAATATTATGGAGTAGAAATGATCATAAGGGACTTACCTCAAGTTTTCCCGTGAAAACCTTGTTAAACAATCGCCAAACCTGAGCTTGAAATGCCCAAAATGGCAAAAGCTCGGAACCCCTCTGTTTTTGTATTGCCCAGGGGTTTTCGCACCCGCGGTGATTTCTTCGCATCCGCGGTAACATTCTTCGCACCCGCGGTAAAATTCTTCGCATCCGCGACAAAAATTTTCACACACGCGGTGCCTAGCCAGCCCATGCATTTTCCGCTTCCGCGACTAATTCCCCACATCCGCGAGCTCGCACCTGCGGCCCTTTTTCGCGCAGGTGCGATCATACCAGATGCCCAACTGCTTCACCTCCTCCTCCAAATCAAAAATCGATCCGTTAGGCATTCGAACTCACCCGAGGCACCCCGGGACCTCAGCCAAATATACCATCAAGTTCTAAAACATCATATGAACTTAGTCAAATTCTTAAAGCACATCAGACAACATCAAAACGATGAATCGCACCTCAAATCAAAATCTATGAATTTTGAACTTTCAAATTCGATATCTTGTGTCGAAACACATCAAATCAATTCGGAATGACTTCAAATTTTGCACACAAGTCATAAAATGACATAACGGACCTATTCAAATTTCCAGAATCGGATTCAGACCTCGATATCAAAAAGTCAACCCCCGGTCAAACTTCCCAAAAATTCAACTTTCGGCATTTCAAGCTTAATTCCACTACGGACCTCCAAATAATTTTCCGGACATGCTTCTAAATCCAAAATCACCATACGGAACTATTGACATCATCAAAATTTCATTCTGGAGTCGTTTGCCCAAAAGTCAACTCTCCGGTCAACTCTTTCCATTTAAGCTTCAAATTAAGGATTGTTCTTTTAATTTAATTCTGAATCTTCAGTAAATCAAACCCGACTACACCTGCGGGTCATAATACATATTGCGAAGCTGCTCGAGACTTTAAGTGACTGAACGGAGCGTAAATTTTTAAAACGACAAATCAGGTCGTTACAGTCTAGCTGTCATTTTCTTTTCTATTGAGAATCATGCCCAACTTTGATTAAAATTATACCATTCTATTTTAACTTTTAATACGAAAATGTCATATGTAAAAAAGGAAAATACAATCCAACAACAATGGTAAATCCACCAGTTTCTGAATTGAAGAAGCCTATGAATATTAATTGATAGCTATATCAAGTAATTTCGACATGCTAATCATCACTTGGAAAGGCTGCAGCAACTACTTGTAATATAATATTGAAACTAATGAATTAATTACTTTCAGTAAACAAAAGATTGTCCCTTGAGATACCATTCTTGTCAAAGGCTTTTGGTAAAGTGAAAGGTGCTGAGACATCTGAACCGAAAGACTTATAAGTATGATTTGAAAATGGTAAAAACTACAATCTCCCTTCTCTTTTTCTTTTATTAGTCTAAAGTTAAATACTAAGTACTTGTTATTTCTCACGATCTTTTTCTCTTATTTTATCAGTCTAATGTTAAATATCTGTTATTTCTCACGATCTTTTTCTCTTATTTTATCAGTCTAATGTTAAATATCTGTTATTTCTCACGACTCTTTAATTTTTCTTTATCATTCTAACGTTAAATACATGTTATTTCTCAGCACGAATATTTCTGTATTTCCTTGGTTCTTCAACCATAAAAGACAAGTCTTGGCCAATGCATAAAAATGAAACATATGGCATATAAGCTGTCGTATTTGCAACAGGAACTGCAGTTTCTGAGTTGAAAAAACCAAAACGAGGATGCTTGAAGGGGTTGACCAGTATGCTGATTCGATTAGATTAGATTTATAAACTACAAAAAGATGGAAAAATCCAGCACTCCACTTGCTTCTCCCCAAATATTTTATTGTGATATTGTACGATTTCCTTTTGTTTCTTCTTGTTAAAAAATATGTACACATAATTTTAATTTCAGTCGCCTATTTTATTTATTCTTATCGTTGAGATTTGAAGCTGTCACGTCTCACATTTATGCTTTTTTTTTTCTCTTCTTTCTGCAATTATGTTTTGATTATACATTTTACAATTGCTTATTGTAGACTAAAAAGATGAAAAACAATGTTAATTCTCAGGAAAATCTCAAGCTATTACTCACCTCAATAAAAGCAATTTATTTTCTTTTCTTTTCTTTTTTTCTTTTTACATTATGCTGCAGTTATGGTCAAATTCCCACTTTTTAACCTTAAGAAGCAACTTTAGTGGTCAGCCGAAATGAAAAGTGAAAATTACTCAATGGAAAATCAAAAGAACAAAAAGAAAATTCCAACCCTCTTTTTCATTGCTATTTGTTTAATCAAAGGGGAAGAATAAAACGTTATAAAGAATAATGATTCCAGATTTCCAGTTCCTGAATTTCCTTTTTGTCTTGCCAACGAAATTTGAAGATATACAACCAATCTTGAATCATGAAAAGTCCTTCCTTTCAAGTGCTTCTAATATACATTTCAGTTTTTTACTTTATAAAAAGTTGCACTCTTTGACCGGCTGCAGAATACTATTAGTCGCGTTATTTCTTTTTTACATTATCATTTTTATATTTATAGACACTTATGTCTAATTAACTTTTATGTAGCATGATTGTGTATAAATATTTATTTATACTTAACACAGTAAATGGACAAAATTCATAAGTCTTTTTTTCCTACGATACTCAAAATCCATTGATTCAAGTAATTCAAATTTATGTTGGATAAATTCACTAAGAGAAATGAATTACTGAAAGATTCTTCGTTCCAGAGGTCGAACCTGAATCTATTTCAATTTTTAGTCTCTTTATTCTAATGTATGTATATTCAGAAGGGAATATACCGAAAGGACCATCTTGTGAAGGATTAAAATACCTCCAAAGAACAATTTAGGCACAAGCAAAAAATTTAACAAAGGCTATATAGAAGAAATTTATCAACTAGAGAGAAAATGTGGTAGGATACTTTTTCACAACTCATAAACTCTTGAATCTCTCTACAAGAAAATAAGTAGTAGCGCCCCTATTTATAATACTACAAAACCAAAAACTTATTCCAATATGAAATTGGTAAACAAAACCTAACTAGACATAAATTAAATAAATTACCAAATATCAAATCCTAGATAACTTAAGAATATTATTTAATCTTGGTTTAGTTTCCAATAGCCTCTCTTAAACCAAGATCTTCAAATTTGATCATGCCCAACATCTTCTTCAACTTGACGAATAACTCTAGCTTTAGTGGCTTTGTGAAAACATCATCGACTTGCTCTTCAGTCCTGCAATACTCAATAACTATTTCATTGTCTTGAACCAAGTCACGAATAAAGTGAAATTTGATGTTAATGTGTATGCTACGCCCATGAAAAACTGGATTCTTTTGTTAACTCAATTGCAGATTTGCTATCACAAAAAACTTATTGTAGGATTGTCTTGCTTGTATTGAAAAAATTCAAGCATTCTTCTTAATCACAATGCTTGTGTAGCACCATTTGTTGCAGCCATGTACTCAGCTTCAGCTGTTGATAAAGCAACAACTTGTTGCTTTTTGGAAGACCAAGAAAATATACTATAACCCAAATAAAATGCATAGCTACAAGTACTTTTTCTTTGTATCGTATCACCAGCCCAATCACTGTCTGTAAATCCAACAAGACTACTATCATTAGTCTTTGAATAAAATATACCATAAGTTTGCATACCTTTAATATATCTCAAAATTCTCTTTACAACTTGCAAGTGGAGTTTCCATAAATCTGCTAATTAATCCAATTCCATAAGTAATATCATGCCTTGTAGAAGTCAAGTACCTTAGACTCCCTACCAATTTTCTAAAATATGTAGCATCAACAAAGTCACCAGTCCCATCTCTAACCAACTTCAATTTTTCTTCAACAAGGGTCGAAATTGGTTTGGTTCTATCCATATTAAATCTCTTCAAAATATCACCAACATATAAATATTCTACTATCTAATTAAGATAACTCAATGCCAAGAAAATAAAATATTTATCCCAAGTCAGTCATCTCAAACTGGCTACTCATGGCCTCCATAAACTCTGAAATTAATTTAGGATTATTGCAAGTAAAAATTAAATTATCCACATATAAGCACACAATGGGAATATCTTCGTCGGGCTTGAATTTGATATATAAAGTATGCTTATATGGACATCTCTGAAATCCATGGCCAAAAAATAAGAATCAATACAAGTGTACCAAGCTCTAGGTGCTTGTTTCAATCCAAATAATGTATTTTTCAACCGGTAAACTTTATTTTCTTAACCCCTTTTAACAAAATCAGGAGGCTGCTCAACATACACTTCTTCTTCAAGAATACCATTTAAGAAAGCAGATTTCACGTTCATTTGAAAAAATTTCCAACAGTTATTGGCAGCAAAAGAAATAATCAAAGGAACAGTATCAAGCCTAGCAACATGTACAAATACCTCAAAGTAATAAATACGTGCCTTCTGCTTGTATCCTTTAACAATTAATCTCGCCCTAAAGTGATCCACTTCTCCGGTTGGTTTGAACTTAGTCTTCTATACCCACTTGACTCTAATCGGTCTTTTTGAGTGTGGTAAAGTAGTCAATTTCCATGTGTTATTTTTCTCAATAGCATGAATTTCTTCATTCATTGCATGAACCCATCAATCATATTTAATAGCTTCATCAAAAGTAACTGGATCACAATTTTTAAATAATGCAAAATTTACGATATCTTCATCGGATAAATCATTATCATGGCCAGCAACATAATCTTGTAAACGGGCCGGTAACTGGTGTTGTCTTTGCGGGCTGTAGGACGTCTCTGTTTGAACAGGATCTACTACGTGTTCCTTTTGATGTCTGTCAAAATTTCCTTCATCCATGACTGGAATTATTGGTTGAGACCTAGATGGTTCAGAATCCTTCTTTGACCAATCCCAAGAATTTTGCTCATCAAAAGTAACATCTCTGCTAATAATCACTTTTTATATATCTTGATTAAACAACTTGTAAACTTTTTGTCTCGTGACTATAACCAATAAAAATACACTTTATCTGTTTTATTATCCAATTTCTCTCTCAAAGCATCAGGAACATGAGCATAAGCAAGACAACCAAATACTTTTATATGAGAAATATTTGGGTTCTTACTTGTCCATACCTCTTGTGGATTTTTTCAAATTTAGACTGTGTAAGACTCCTATTCAAGACATAAATTGCACAGGAAACAACTTCTAGCCAAAAATCTTTTGAAATATTTTTGGAATGCATCATAGATCGCACCATATCCATCACTGTTATATTTTTTCTTTTAGCCATACCATTCAGCTAAGGTGTATATCAAGTTGTCAATTGATGCTTAATACCATACTTCTTCAACTAATCATCATAAACAAGAAATTTAGTGCCCCTATCAGTCTTCAGTATTTTAATAAAATAACCACTTTGCTTCTCCACATAAACTTTGAAACTCTTAAAAATATCAAAAGCATTAGATTATTTTTCAACAAATATACCCAAGTCTATCGGCTGAAATCATCAATGAAAGTAATAAAATACTTACTACCACCATTAGAAGAAACTTTAACTGGGCACAAATATGAATGAATTAATTGCAATGGTGCATTAGCTCTCCAAGCTTTGCCTCTCTAAAAAGGTTCTTTGTACTTCTTTCCCAAAATACACGACTCACACTTCTTCTGAAGAAAATTAATAGAAGGCAAACCATCAATCAAATTCTTTCTTGCAAGAAATTTCAAACTCCCAAAATTCAAATGCTCAAGATGTAGATGTCACAACCAAGTATCATCACAGTTTATAGAACTAAAGCAATGTAAACCATCACTATTGAGATAAAGAAGCTACAAACGACTATTGTTCATGTTAAACTTTGCAATTAGTCTAATTTTATCATCACTAATTGTGTCAATCCTATACTTAAAACATAAATCATACCTCGTCTCTCATAGTTTTCCCAAGCTCAATAAATTATGATGAAGACTCGACACATAAATCACATCTGATATAAAATTAGAAGAACCATCTTTCACAGTAATGCCAATTTTTTCCTTTCCAAGAGCAGGCACCTTTGCGTTATTTGTAAGTCTCACTGTACCTCTAAATGTTTCATCTAGATCAGTGAATGATTTCTTATTTCCACTCATATGATTACTGTAACCCCAATAAATAAATCATTCATTCCCTTTAGTTTCTTCAATCCCGGAGCTATAAAATAATAAAGTCTCTTGTTTATCCCTATTATTTTCAGCCATCTTAGCACGTACTTCTTTATTACTAAATTTATTAAACCAACATTCGCTTTCATAATGTCCAAATTTACCATAATTATAGCACTGAATCATAGATTTACCACGTCTTTAAAAATTTTGATGACCTTGTTGTTTCTTCCAAAAATTGTTACTATTTCTTTGTTGATAAGAAAATTACCTCTACCACGACCTCGAAAGTTACTTATAGCACAGACTCTACCTCTGAAATTCCGGCCTATTTGATTTGTTTCTTTAGGATAACTTTCTTCTTTTACTTTGGGTTGATTCACCTTTGCTTGAAACGCCTCCTCCACTGTTTCGGGTGTGTCTTGAGTCACATACATCTCATATGTCACCAATTTACCTTCTAAATTATCAAGTGTAAAAGTTCTAAGATCTTTGGTAGCCCCAAGAACTACCTTCTTCGTATGAAAATTTATACTCAAGGACCGCAATATTTTTTCAACCACTTTAAATATATCTAGTACTTCTCCATTAGTCCTTACGTCGTTGACAATATTAGTAATTCTTGTAATGAATTTTTTAACGGACTCTGTTGGTTTTATTTTGGCCAACTAGAACTGTCTCCTTAGTTCTTGCCTTTGTTGATTTTGCATGCAAAAATTTGTTAGATACACGCAATTCGACCTTGATGGTGATAGTATCGTGCCTTATAATCCAATTGCCTATTTTTCTCTAACTGCTTAGTTGCATCACCTGTCCATGTTGTACCTTCTGGGGTTCCTCAAATCATATTTGAAAAAATATTTCATAACAATATTGATGGCAATCTTTAATATTATATTTGCTATCAAACTTGACAACGTGGCAATCATGTAAATATGGAATATTCATAATTTTTTAGGATCTCCACCGACTCTGACAAAATCTCACACAAGTTGTGATATCAATTTGAAGGATTAAAATACTCCGAAGAACAATTTAGGCACAAACAAAAAATTCAACAAAGGCTAAATAGAAGAAATTTATCAAACAAGAGAGAGAACGTGGTAGGAAGCTTTTTCACAACTCATAAATTTTTGAATCTCTTTACAAGAAAATAAGTAGTAGCACCCCTATTTATAATACTACAAAACCAAAAACCTATTTCAATATGATATTGGTAAACAAAACTTAAATAGACATGAATTAATTAAACTATCAAATATCAAATCCTAGACAACTTAAAGATACTAATTAATGTAGGTTTAGTTTCCAACATAGTTAAATTCTTAAGTACAGGCTTTTTGTTTGACTCCTAAGAGTGGGACGAATTCTGTTAGGCTAGAGAGCAGAGGCGGAGCTAGGTGGACGGAAGGGAGTTCAGCCGAACCCCTTCTCCGAAAATTATAATATATATAAGATTAAATCTTTTTTATTAATATATATTAGACGTTGAATATTCTTAGCTTCTTTGCGTGTTTACTTTTTTATTTTTTTAAATCCTTTGGTGAAAATTTTATTTTTGTCATAGCTAGAGAGTACTTTCCCTTTAATGAATCTTAGGCGATGCGAATTCAAATTAATATCCAGTAGCAAGTATCGAGCATTTAAAAGAAAAAACAAAATTAGGGTAAAAAAGGAAGAGGGTTGAATATTTGCTGGAATTTGGAAAATAGTGGAGTTAGACAGAAAACAGCTTTAACAAGCTAAGCTAATTGTTTGACTTGAGAAATCACCGTTAAAAGGCAACGTCTATTGGGTGGACCCTACGTTACCACAACAAAACCAAGTTTTAATATTATCCCATTTGATTAACTTAATTGATTAATTCAGTAAAATTAATAAACTAATAGAGGAGAGAAGCACACAACTTATCTCTTAGTGGGGGGCTGTGTATGTGAAAGTCAATGTCATTTCTTACTGTTTGTTAGACAGGAAAAAAAAAGTAGTTGTACAATTTACATGTAATGTGTAGATACAGCCAGATAGAGTCAATCAAGAAAGAGAGAGAGAAGGAGAGAGAAATTAAGAGAGCATTGGTGTCATCAATAGAGGGATGCTTTTGGGCTCAGAACTGCAATTAATGCTCCTTTCATTTTGAGACTGTTGCTTTTAATTGGCTTTACCCCAAAAGAAAAAAAAAGGAAAAAAAAACAAAACAAAATAAGCCTAGTGAGAGATAATAGTAATATGAAGAGAGTGTTTTTTTTTTCAACTCTACTTTCAGGTGTCTTTGATTGAGGATTAGCTGGAGGTTTTGGAGGTGTAGATTCTTCTTCTTCAATCTCTCTCTCTCTTTCTCTGTTCTTTTGGTGTCCATTTCTTGAAGATCTACTTTGTTGCTTGCTTTTGGGTGTTGGAATTTCTTCCAATTTCATTCAACTGGTTGACTTTGGATTTGGACATTGTGGGGTTTTATAAAAATTGAGTCTTTGAGTCTTGGATCTTAAGTTCCTTCTAGGTTTTTTTTCCCTTCAAATGTCAACTTGAATTTCTTCTATATTCTTGTTCGTTGAAATTTCTCACCTCAACAACCTGAAATTGATTGATTGAGTATTTCAGTCAAAGATTATTGGGCTGTCTTAATTTTTTGTTGTGTGAATCTTCAAGAAAGGGCAAAATTAGGGTTTCTTTGATCTGGTCTATTTTGTATATTTTTTAATCAATTCTTTTGATACCAGTATCTGGTCTTTGTGTTTTTGGTAAAGGCAAATGCTTTCGGACTTTCCCTCCTTAAGTTAGGGTGCATTTGATTTTTGAAAGCAAAGGTTTTGATTCTTGGGGGGATGCTTTTAGCTTGATTCTTTTGCTTTTCCTGAAGTTAGGGTTTGGTTACCAAGCCTTTCTTTTTTGGGGGTTTAGTGTTAGATGGGCTAAAAACTATTTCTTTGTCTTTGGTGAAACTTTGTTCAGTCACTCCCTTTTTAGGTCCTCTCTGTGATTGATTAACACACAGAGAAAGAACAAATAAGGTTGTAATGCATCTTTCACTATGGAAGCCAATATCTCACTGTGCTTCTCTGATCTTGGACAAAAAGAGCAGAAAGAGAAATGGGTCTAACCATACCACTGAAGAGATAAAGAAAAACCCATCTGTGCTGAAAAAATTGCAAGAGCATAAGCTGAGGGAGGCTCTTGAGGAAGCATCTGAAAATGGGTCTCTTGTTAAATCTCAAGATGTGGACTCCCTGTCAGCACAGAACCAAGATGAAGGCTTGGGCCGATCCCGGTCACTCGCTAGGCTACATGCCCAAAAGGAGTTCTTGAAAGCCACTGCTCTTGCTGCAGAGCGCACTTTTGAATCTGAGGACTCCATTCCTGAGCTCAATGAAGCCTTTTCTAAGTTCTTGACCATGTATCCTAAGTACCAGTCCTCGGAAAAGATTGATGAGCTGAGGTCAGATGAGTACTCTCACCTTTCTGGCTCTGGACCTAAGGTATGTCTTGATTACTGTGGATTTGGGTTGTTTTCATTCCTTCAAAGTGTTCATTACTGGGAGTCCTCGACATTTAGCCTGTCTGAGATTACTGCTAATTTGAGCAATCATGCTTTGTATGGGGGTGCTGAGAAAGGCACCGTGGAACACGATATTAAGACGAGAATTATGGATTACTTGAACATCCCTGAGAATGAGTATGGTCTTGTTTTTACTGTGAGCAGGGGCTCGGCTTTTAAGTTGTTAGCTGAATCATACCCTTTTCAGACCAACAAAAAGTTGTTGACTATGTTTGATCATGAGAGCCAGTCAGTTAACTGGATGGGTCAGTGTGCCAGAGAGAAAGGTGCCAAGGTTTATAGTGCATGGTTCAAATGGCCTACCCTCAAACTATGTTCAACTGATTTGAGGAAACAAATTTCGAACAAAAAGAGGAGAAAGAAAGATTCAGCTACTGGTCTCTTTGTTTTCCCAGTCCNCGACGCCGAGGCATGAAGCTTGAGGCTGGTTTAATAGCTTTTGCTCCTTTTGTTCCTAACCTAAGATGCAGGGATGTATTGCCGGCAGTGGGTTCACTCTGATGAAAGTTCAGGTGCAAGAGAAACAATGAAAAGGTCTGAGATGTATTCTTTTGGCCCCTCTGTCTCTTTTTCGATGCATGCGGGAGAATTTTTTTCATTCTTGTTTTCAATTGCTTGAATGTTTCTTTCTTTACCTTTTTGGAGTTCCTGTAGAGTTGGGAGTTAGAAATCTGTATTTTCTCAGGTAGTCATGAATCATGATGAACCAAAGCAGATACAAGCAGGGGTTAAATGATCCCTTTCCACCATTTGCCCTATTGCTTCTCAGCTGTGTATAATGATCATTCATGCTTGTTCAGTCTACTATACAGTCTCTTGTCTTTATTCCTGCATCAAGTTCTTGCTATTAGCATAATTTTGTCAATAAGTATATTCATAATGAAGGGGAGCCTTTCCTCAGCCGATTGTCTATTGGAAGCAGCCTCTCTATCCTTACAAAGGTAGGGGTAAGGTCTGCGTACACACTAACCTCCGAGACCCCACGGTCTGAGATAATAATGGGTATGTTGTTGTTGTATAATGAAGGGGAGCCTTGGCGTTACTGGTAAAGTTGGTGCCATGTGACCAGGAGGTCAGGGCGTGGAAACAGTTTCTTACAGAAATGCAGGTAAGGCTGCGTACAATAGACCCTTGTGGTCCGGCCCTCCCCTGACCCCGCGCGTAGCGGGAGCTTAGTGCATCGGGCTGCCATTTAAAATGTCCAGTATACTACTATCAAAGTAAACAGCATTCTTACTGCTCAGTTTTCATCTGAATGATTTTGACACCGTTCGGATTTAGAAGTTCATGGTCACTTGACCAAGTTCCATGTTTAGCGAGGTAAATGCCTTTTATAGGTAATTCATGTTAGAGAGAATTATGCTGACTATGTAAAATTGCATGAGAGAAAGCATTCACCTCGATAGCAGAATTGAGAAAAACATAAGAGTTTTTTTAGAAATAGTTTGACTCCTTATGATTAATTCTGTTGTCATATTTTCATCTGAATAAATCCTATGGGGTTTCTTTGATATTGTATATTAGAAAAACATGTCAAGGTTAAATTACTACTAGGAGATGAACTCTTTGAATGTATCTCAATGATACACTCGAAAGCACAACAAAATCAACTATACCTCGGTTATATGAATCTTAATTGATCATACATATTGGTTGTTTTTTCCTTCTCAAAGAAGAATCAGTATTAGAATTGGATTATGTAAATTTTAATTTAAGATTTCCAACAGAAGATTGGAAAAGACTGCCATATTTGGGATAAATCATTGTGCTTACATTGTGTGACTCAAATGGTATAATTAAGTCAGATATGATAGGCATCTAACGTAAGTATGGTTCAGCTCCTTTTGTCCATTCTTTACACCTCAATGACCCTGTGTTCCTCCTTCACAAAAGATAAAAGAGAAAAGCAGAATAAGAAGTGAATGATTTGAAGTAATGGGACCTTTGATTATCAGTAATGCTAATTATTGTAGCTGGGTCACACCCATAGAGTTTTGTTTGCCACAGAGATAATAGTGAGGTCTTGTATCATTGTACTAATCTCTTTTCTATTCTTTGGGTTTTAGCAGATTCCGTTTTCCCCTTTGGGAGGTCCCGAATTGAATGGGACCTTACAAAAGATGCACCTTTCTTTGACGGGAATGATTGTGTTTGATTCATACCTCTCTTCTTTTCATCGTTAGGCATAAAAACGAAACCTGCGCAACGTTATGCGAAAATCATGTTTCCCATTTTACTGCAGTATCTGTCAATCAATCTTTATCTCGCCTCAAACTAGTTGAGGATTATAAATATATGAATCATTTCATTCTATTCAGGTTCATATTATTCAAACATTAAATATTTTATATTTTAAGACATATTAATAATTCTCTAAACTAGTTCTCTAAATATCACAAGACTCACAACTACCCTATACAAACGTATAAGTTTCTAACTGAAAATTCATGACAAGTTGAAGGATTCACAGATTATGACAAAAAAAAAAAAATCAAGATCAAATCGAACATAAAACTTACATATATATATATATATATATATATATATATTGGTTTGGTTTGATTTGATTTGGTGTTAAATTAAAAAGGAAATGACAATATGTGGTCTGTTTTTCATATTAAACAAATAACGGATCAAACCTATAAAATATATACATATACACATAACAATAGATCATTATATGAAACATTTGTTTATTTTTATAGATATTTTCCTTTTTTTTCTTTTCTTTTCATCCACTTTTTGTGATGGTATTTATATTTCAATGATTCATAATTCCCCCTCTTAACGCTGTGCTTATTCACTTATATATTTGCTTTTTCTATCCTGGCGGGTGTTCATTATCTCAAAACAACAGGCAATAAAATAGTGAAGGTGGATCCATGTTAGACAAATTGGTTGATAGAATTTGGTAGTCATCTGGTTGAAGAAGCATTTTCATATTTGGAGGTAGTTGAGTGACAACGAAGCGTTGACAAATTTAGACACACTAACAATCCAAGAGGCGCCAGCAATGTATATTTGGGACTTAGTAATCACCAATATCTTTAGCAATTAGCTTAATACATCTTAGGACACAATTTTCATCGTAATCTCTTCAACAACAAAATCAGGCCAAACCACTTCTTAAGACTAGTATCCAAACCAACTTGCACGCTGGATCTCTCACCAACATAAGTACTACTAAATAACTCTATAGACCAAGACTAAGACATATGAGAAGAAATTACCGAAGGAGTTTTTTTTTACTATAGAGATTAAAATTCTAATCTCCAATGATTTTCACCGCTTTATCGACAACTAAGTCATAATCTTGAATGCAATCAGACCAAACCACTTTTTTGAAAAGTCGTCATTCATCCAAAGAAGAAGCACCGCACTTTTCAATAACAACAGCTCTAATTAGTTGGACATGAATATGGCAAGTAAAGATTATAGGAGATTCCTTATCTGGTGAGCATCTTTGCCTATAAAGGACAAGATTAGTAGGAATATCCACTGCTTGAAAGTGTGTATTACAATCTGGATTAATAGGAAGGTGCAAAAAAAAACAAGTTAGAATCCTATGGGTATAAGCTTTTCTATCTTACATGAAATTAATAAACAAAACACAAGTAGCTATGATTCCATCATCTTAATAAGGAAAGCCGTCTCCAGCGCTGACTCCTTGCAGTGCAAGTATCTATTTTCTTCAACTATATCAGCCGTCAAATTAAGCAATACTGGATGTTTAGGATCATACACAGAATATTCACGCACCCGAGCAACATATTTTGCAGCTTCCCATACTCCAAACCTGAAAAATCATGGAAGATTATGAGGACGACTTTACAACACAATGAGCTGCTATTATTTCCACATTAGTATGCAAAACGATGACAGTTCACTTACGTTATGGCCTTGGAACAATTCTTTATAACTTATGCAAAAGGATTATAGTTCACTTAATTTACAGCTTGGAACAATTCTTTATAACTTATGCAAAAGGATTATAGTTCACTTAATTTACAGCTTGGAACAATTCTTTGTAACCCATGCAAAAGGATGTTAGTTCATTTAATTTACAGCTTGGAACAATTCTTAGTGGATCAGGTTCTTTACACCTGGTCAGTCCTAGTTGTCGATCATAGTACTGTAGCACATGAGGGATGTAAGAGAAAGAAAAACACCTACTACGCCATGATGGGTGGATAAGACTGGAGATGGTTTAACCCCCGTTCCACCTAAGAATTATCATATAGATGGAGAGGAATCACATGAACAGCTTGAAAAGTAAATATCAAGGGACAAATAAACATGCAAGTAACGATGATTATGATGGCCGCGAAGAGGCTGCTAAGTGCTAACACAGGCTTTATGAATCTCCAAGTAAAAAGTTGTCAACTAAAAGCAAAGTCTCATTTATAAAATGGAGTGTTTTCCAAGAGTTTGTTGTAAGTTGTAACTCGAACTTAATGTTATAGTGTAAAAGACATGGCTTTAGACGATGGCCACATATTTGTACAAGGAACTTGTACCATTAAACAAGCCAGAGGAAGTGAATCAGCCAGCACTCAACAGAAACCCTGAGAAAAACTTTGGACGTTACCTCGTGTTGAATGAAGAGGTCACCAGAATAGCTGGATATAAAATATCTTTCTGAATGTTATCATAAGGTGAATATTTACGTATTGCCTGAAAGTCATCAATGTCCCCAGGGTACCCGAACTCTTCATAGTCAGCAGGTGTAAGCGGTAAGATCGGATTGAGGAGAGTGTTTGTTGGATCCAAAAATGGTACCTACAAAAAGAGGTAGTCCACCTTTTCAGTAAAGTCAAAAGAGAGGATAAAATTAAAGAAGATTTACTCGACAGAGAAAAATAGTTGACTCTCTGTACATTCCCTGAAAGGGTCATTCCTTTTTTACTCCAGAAGTGAAGATTTTCAGTCTTCAATAACAGTTTTTTCCTCACTTTTCCTCTTCTTGTTGCGGTGGGGGTGAGGGATGTTAGAAAGATAGAGGAAAAGAATGATTTAAGGTGCATAAATGCAATAGTACAGTCCGAGTTTTGGGTAGACCTCCAGAACTGCTGCCCGCAGTAGACTTGGGCAAGAATTTATAGCTGAAGCCACTAACAGCCCTCCAGCACTATAACCCCACCCAGCGAGCTTGTTGTCTTGCACAATTTCCCTCTCAATCAGGAATTTAGCACAGGATATGTAATCAGAAATTGAATTAATCTTTTTTGTCCGCCGGCCATCATGGTGCCACATTTTCCCCCCACCACCTCCACCTCTGAGAATGAAGACAATAAAAAGGCATTGTCAAGCAGTAGTCACAACATAACTCCATAACAATATAACCTGTCTTAACTTCATAGGAATAGGATACCTGTAATATAGCCGAGCATTTTTATAGAGAAAAAGTAATTTTTA